AATGCCAGTTTAATAGAACAAAGTGTTCTTGCATTGAGGGAGTACTTGAGTAGAGACCCAATGTCCATCTGCTACCTTAATACTAAACCTATAAATACATGCACATAGATCTATTTTCCCATCATATAAAAAAATAATTACATATGTACATGCCTGTATTTAGACCTCTATAAATGCCCTTTGCCTCGTAGTTCTTTCCTTTAAGAGGTCAAAAAAAAAAGAATTCACTCCACAAATGTTGAGGTGACACTCTGTGCCCAGTATTACCAGTGAGGAAAGGTATGCACAGAGGAAATAGTGAAAATAAGAACAGCCAGTGTTCTGGGGACCAAAACTACTCAGGGAAATCCTTAGCAAGGTTGCATTTCAAGGATCATCACCAGAGTCCTTCATGTACTCTGGGCATGTTCCTCCCTATCCCAGCCAATTAAATACACCTGCTGCCATATGCATGTTAACACCAATTAGTAACCACTAATACAGTCCTAGGGAAGCAAAGAAGGTGTCTTCGAATGAGCCTGCGCCTACATTTTCACAACGAAGTGCCTCTGACGTGGAAAGAGATGAGAAGGGGCTCTCTTCCCTGACTCAGCCATCTTCCCCAGTCTGTGGTAGGTGCAGGAATGTAGGATGTAAGAATCCAGACAGACTCTTTCCAGCTGCCAGGAGCATCTATTTCCTCCCATCCAGCCTTTCCACTCATCACCATTGGGGGCCACACAGAGGATCGCCATCTGGCTGCACATGCCCCCATCTGGCTCCATCTCCCTAAAAGGGGCACTCAAGAACATAAAAACGCTGCAGTAGACTTACATTGCAGCCCTTCTCATTTTCCTCCATCTGCCTTCCATATGGTTTTTACTACTCTATGAGGCTCTCACACACACAGGTCTTTTAGAATGAGGACTTTCAACCTGACCAAGATAAAGAACTAGAATTCACCTTGGCCAGGGAAAGGGGGCCTCAAATACACTAAACACATTTCTGACTCCAAACTAGAACAAACTGATAATCAATCATCAATTTCCATATGCAATTTATTTAATTTTATATTATACTTAACCGTTATCAATAAAACCCATAGTGGCTTCCCTGTTGTATTTTCTTCAAGTGCCTACTTGCCGTTTTGAAGAACTGCATGTGACTGCCACTTAAGGGTCCCAGTTAAACACATCAAACACCGTCTCTAGATTTGACTCTCCCTCACCCACAAAACTCTGACTTAAAGGGGAAGAAAGTGTTGCCAATTTTTTTTCTCAAGTGTATCCATTAAAATCAGAAGTTTCATAAGCCTTTGACTTCAATCTAAGTGGGCACGGCCTAGAATCAGGAGAGGCTGACCCCAACTGGGTCCCATTGCCCTGTCTTTAGTGGTGCTACAAAGTTCAAGTCCTGGCTCTCTTTGCTTTGGTGTATGCATGGTTGAAGTGACATGACTGACTCCAGCATGTGTATGATTGAGAAAACAGTGGCTAAGCACTATATCATCTATCTATCTACCTACCTACCTACCTACCTACCCATCTATTCATCCATTTTTCCATCTATGGCCATTTCCCAACAACTGGACACTACTGGCATTAGCAACAGTAATGAAGTTCAGTCTCCACTCCAGTGTTAGACTGTGCCAAGCCAAAGGGTACCTGGGCCATTTCTCTCAAAGGTTAAAAAACAAGCTAACAGAAAAGTAGTGACAGATTGAAAGCATCTAAAAAGACAAAACAGGCCTACTATTGACTTACTGATTTATATGTTTTAAAATATGAACTAGGCACAAAGCCTTCTATTAAAAAAATAGCAAGAAGAAAGCTTTCCATCTTCCCAAGCCTCTATCCCTACTTAAAGATGCCCTGCCCTTGCCGCGGCAGACAACTTGTCTGCAATCCAGCTGGAGCCTCCTGTGTAAAGCTGTCTACTCATCAGCATATGGAAAATCACACCCAGTTCCATGACAATTGTATCTGATGAAGCAGAGTACAGGGACAGTGCGTGCCCAGATAGACCACTGTCAATCCAGACATACAAAACCAAACCCAGCAAATGGCAGGGAGATAGGAGTTTTCGTCTAGTTTATTTTTCTGAGTGTGTAAATGATATTAATTCCATGCCCCCCTAAAAAAAATAAGCAAAAAATTCAGACATCTATTTCCACTTTGAGAACCAAATGAGAACATTACTATAGAGTACCTGATGGGGTGACTTTGTTCTTTGTTCTCTCTTGTTAACTTATCAACGTATTTCACACATCCTGTGCTTCTTAATGTCTTTTAGAAGGCAAGAGAGAGAGCCAGCATCAACTGGGTGCAGACAAAACTACTTGGACTTCAACTGTCACTTGGCAATCTCTGGAACCCCAGGGGTGTCCCTGCAGTCATGCAGGTACAAACTGCCTTTCTTGTTGCCATAACATGTTGCAAAGTAAGACCATCACAGGTAGGGACTCTTTATCTATGGTGGCTGAAAAAGACATGCGTTTTAACCAAGAGATCCAGATACAAATGCTAAGTTTTGGCCCGGAGGCCTGCTCACTGGACAACTGGTCCAGACCAGAGCAATTTCTCGGGAGTAAAAGCAAGTCCTCTCCCTTCTGGGCTAAGGGCTGGTGAGTTAGTCATTTCATAAGCGGAGTGAGTGCCAGTGTTTCCGAAAGTGCATGGATGTCAAAGGTAAATGGACGGTTAGCTCTGGGGTTAAATAGAAGGGACAAGAAGTAAGATCAATAAGGCTTCAGTAAATGACAATTTCTTGCGCAAAAAAACAAAAGCTCTAAGCCTCATATTCTGTACACCAGGGGCTTGCTCTGAGCACGCTTTATAAAGCGCTTGGGAACCACAACAACAAAATCTGCAGAAGTTGCTCATGTAGCTGCTGAATAGTCCAGTGAATTGCTGGCACGGTGGCAGGGAGGCTACGCCCCCCCAGCTCAACGCTTCCAAGATGCTAGGTGGACCCTTGGCCACCCCCCCCACTACCCCCACCCGCCACCCCACCCCCCGCCACTGTATTTGTTTCTTCACCTGACACACTGGTCTCTTGCCAGCTGCCTTTAGGTGAGATTTGGTAAAAATCGCCAGAGAAGCAAGAAGAGCTGCCCTCACAGGTAGTTCTGTCCGCAGCGACTGGCCCTGCGGCGGCCAGGGACCTGCCGGCGTCCTTTTACTGGATTCAAGCAAATCGGCGCACGGCACAGGGGGAGGCACACAAAGCCCCAGCTCTTCCCACCCGCCCGGTGGCGGCTAGCAGTGGGCGCCTTGCCCCGGGCGCACACAGACCAGGGCATCCGCCCGCTGGGAATCCCCTGGGGGCCGGGGACCTCGGGGCTTACCTGTTTCTTTGTCCTGGACTTCTTCCAGGTGCAAGTCATTCAAAAGATGCTCCAAAATCTTCTCCGGCGTCCCGGACACCACCACGTATCTGTCGGAGAGCAGAGAGTCCACTGAGTCCTCCTCGGTGGAAGACTGGGAGCGGCTGCTCCACTCGTCGTCCTCGTCCTCCTCGTCGATGTATTTGAAATAAGGCACGTCGAAGGTGGGCAAGGGCAGCTCGCGGTCGGCGAGCGCCGCGGATTCCTTGCGCTCTAGAGGCGGGTCAAAGACCCGGAGCCGCGAGCTGCCCATGGTGCGCGGTGGGTAACAAAGGCATCCCCTAAAGGCGCCCAGATCTTGCCACCCCGGTCCTGGCGCGGGGCGCGGAATCCATCTGGCAGCCGAGAGGTCCGCAGTCAGCTCCGCCGCTGCGGCCCGGAGGCGGGGAGAGGAGGGGCGGGGCGG